TAATAAAATCGATATGAGGGAATTTTGACCAAAAGGAATTAGGGAATTGCAGTTATATATTTATTATAATAATTTATTTAACTACAACTATAGATACTAAGCTTTTAAGAATATCTTCTTTTATGTGATGAAAAAATGTTGCATAATATCAAAAATTATTTATTGAGGATAATAATAATTTGTGATATTTCTAAACTCTAAAACATAGTTTTGACCTTTTTGCTTTATTTATTCATTCCCCTAAAATTCATTGTAATAAGCTTAGGGGATCAGCTTCCAAGAGCTGTCAAAACTTGATTTAAATGACATGCAATGCTTTGGTTTTGAAAATGGTCACCATGAATCAGATGACTATCCAGACCACAGGGAAACTAGCGATGCTGCAGCCAATAAATCATGGTTGGCCTGTGGCCCATAAACAGCAAATAGAAACATATTGCCTGTGCACTCTTCGATTTTGTCGCTGGCTGCACATTGTGTATACGCCACGTTGACGAAAGCTCATTAGTGTCGGCCGCTGTTTTTAAATGGGCGTGTGATGTCCTCCCCCATTTTCCCGAGGGCGAAACACTTCAATCAAGGTTGAAGAGGGCCGGTTGTCGGCTCATCAAACTGGTTTAATGGCTAGATGGTGGAGGACACCACGTACTAGCAATTAAAATAGTTTACCAACTAAGCAATTATCACTATTATCACATGGCTGACCATGATAACACGTGTCTTCCAATAAAGAACTTCATCATCTGGATTATTATTATAAGAGAAGTTCACTGATATTTGACATGCACACCGCGGGCTAGAAAATAAGGCCAGAAATGAGCCCCAAATTGGCCATAAATTGCGGCCAAGCAATCTTGAAGCCAAAAAGGCGACACAAATTCTAGCCAATCTCTGCCATATTTGCTTATCACATTCAAATGGCATAGAAAAACCAAAGAGGAGTCAACAAAGAAATTGTATGGCATCTGGCGGAAAGGACGGATGAGACACGAAGGACATCAAATTACTTGGCTCGGTTGCAAAGTGGTTAATTTCAGGCTTGGCCAGAGTGGGCGTGCCCAGTGGGTGGCGATATAAGCCAATTTGCCGCGTATTGTGCAGTTAATAAATAGTTGAGATGTTTGTTTTGGGCTTTGTGGGTGCTCAAGATTTATTTATTCGGGCTTTGCCTGTTGATAAAGTGCATTAGAAGTCTTCCTTGAACAGGATTTAAGGGGATTAAGTTCTGTTGACACATTTAAAATAAATATTTAACTGTCTTTTCTTTTTTGTGGCCATTTGTGACACAACAGACAACATTTAAGCTGGCTCCTTGAGCGTTTTTGGCCTTAAGAAATGTTTTATTTAATAAATAAATAAAGCATTAAAGTGTTTACACAGGTTTCATTGCTTTTGGAATTTAAAAATCATTAAAAGCCTTTTAAATAATAATAACAAAAGAAAAAGACTTCATTTGAAAACATATTCTTCCATTGTTTTATAATATTTTGTATGTTACAGTAGTGAAAATATACTTTTCTTTTTTTTAATCTGGCAACGAAAAAGTTTCTGCAATTGATTTAACTTTGTCTTCTCATATTTTGTAGACAAGCTGTTATTTTTACATTATTGAAAATGTACTATTTATATAGATTTGAAATCAGGCCTCATAAAGATTTCTGTCCATAAATAACATACAAAATATGTTTTAAATTAAACAACAATTGAAAAACGCTTAAAACTAAAATGTTCCTTCATCACCATGACTGTTGAAAGTGAGAAGCCCAGAGGACACATTCTTAGCTAGACTTGGCCATCCATTACAAATGTTTGCACACTATCCAGTTGAATAATTCACTGGGAAGTACCTTATTTTTTGTGCTGGCCGTTCGTTTACCCTTTTCTCAGGCGGCGCATCCTGACAGCCAGGTGCCAGTTGAGAATGTAATAAAGAGCTTACGATTTATGACACCTCTGCAGGAGTGGCAGCAAGGAGTCCTTCTTGTCACCTGTGGAAGAAGGAGGCTGGCGGAGTTCAAAGGCAAGCTGCTGGCACCTGTTGATTGCCACCTGTCATCTGTGCATATTTTATCATTCTCGGTTTGGTCGAAAACAATGTTGGGATTTGTTGTCGGACACAGGCTTAACAATTAAATAAGATTAAGCCGGTAGGCTTAATAACATAATCTAGTGGGATATAAAAGGTGTAACTATGCCTGCCTCTCGTTTTAATTTCATTATTCTTTGCCTTTGTTTTCCCCCGTATCCTTGGGCCATTTTCTGTCAGTTTAATTTGGTGGAAAATTGCATGGGGCAGCTAATTAGGTTTCTGCTAGGCAGGATAAATTATTTGACAGGTGGCGGCCTCATTTGACCTAGCCACCAACGCGATGGAAATGTCTCCTGTTTTTTTTCCTTTGCAACCATGTTATTGTGTCAACGTCTTCATTTGATTGTTTTCGTTTGTTGCGGTCTGTTTGTGCGATTGCGTGTTTGTGGGTGTGCCACAAATTGTGGCATTGACATTCGCCGGAAGCCAAGGAAAAACATTTGCCGACGGCTTCTGCTCCGGCCGACACTTCTGTCTGGCATTTGTAAATCAGTTTTCACCCGCGGTCCAAGCCAAAATTCTATTGTTGACTTGCCAACTCAAATCAATACTGCCTATACACATATGTGGTTTCAATTAAATTTGAATAAATTCGATCTTCTTCGATTTAAACTTTCTGACAGGATAAATTACCACACAGAGACAAAAAAGAAGTCCTTATTAATTTTATATTCACTGAATTCATATTTTTAGAAATTTTAAAATTACCATATCGAATTACCTTTTGAAAGGAAATGCTATTACAATGCGAAATGCAAAAATTGAGACATTTGATGTTCTATAATTTCAAGTGTATGGTTTATGTAAAATAGATTATTTGATTTAAAAAATTCAAATCACTTTGCGGCTTACAAACTTTGTTGACCATCGTTCAAATTTTACTTAAATATTTATTGTTTCTCGCTAACTTTGTATCCAAGCTTTTAAATATTTATTTTCCGACAACAAATTTTGAGGCAATTAAATTACCTTAGCCGGGTAAATGTGTCAAAATTAATTCTAAATGTACACACATCAGTTTAATTAATGCAATTTCCGATGCTTTATTGTGGTGAGCCTGGTTTGCCTCACCTGTTGGAATTATTTATGCAAATGGTCTAGGTGAGCCCATGTTGGCAACGGATGTGTGTGATAGGCGGAAGCGAATGACAAATGTTCTAATAACTTTACTCTGCAAGGTATACACCTTGTATGCAGCTTAAAGTGTGAGCTCTTGACGTCACTGGTTCGCTATTTTTGGCTGAACCAAAGTGCAGGATCTTAAATAACTAACGAACAAATGAAAAATTTAAAAAGTTATTGGGGAACATCTCAGACTAAAAGAATAGCATTCATTGCGGCCAATGAAACAAGGAAAAACACTCAAAACTCTTTTGCATAATGAATGGGGGACTTTCACAACAATTCGTGAGCTAAGTTCTGGAATATCTAATGTTCTGCACTACGTCAATGCAAAATATTGATGGAACAAGAATAAAGAAAATGGGTTTGAGAGTTTCTAAAGTTTTTCTCTTATTTCACACATTAAAATACTTTAAATACAATTTCTGGGAAGGCTTATCCAGTATTTAAGAAATATGCTTCATAAGATTTTCTTTTACTTAATACGTTGAAATATTTAAAGCTATTTTTCATAGTGATAAATTCAACTCAGTTTGTAAATATCAAAAAGCTGGATTACTACTTTTCGTTAATATGCATGTCATTGAAATGCTTACATATTTGCTTTTACATGTCAATATTAAGCAATATTTACCTTTGCATAAATTATTGTATAATTATTCATTTATTTTCACACCACTCTGATTAACTTTAAATAAGTATATTTACAAATGTCACAGATAATACATGTGTAATGCTATTAGTCAAGAGTCAAAGAAGAGCCTGATATTTTCAACATATTTTCAAAATCCCTGTTCAGATTGTCATCTACAAAGGGCGTGCCCAATCTACCAAACTGAATGTTGTTAAAATTACTTGATTGCTGTCTTGTAATTTCATCTGCGTGTTTCCCTTCTTATTTCGCCTTTTGTTAGCCATGTGTCATTAAAGTTAACGCCATGCTGAGGCACGCCCACAAATTCTATAATTTGGTTCTATCAAGTGACAGCAATCTTTATTTGAGTTCCCTTGTGAATTTTTCTCTTTTTGCGTAAGTTAATGATAATGTTTTGTTTACTTTCCAGCTAGTGATTCTTTTTGCTGTCAGAAATGTCTTGAACACTGCAATAAAATGCAGAATCGAAATTTCGAATTTAAATTTCTTGTAAAAACTCAGTTCTTATGATTTTTTTAAAGATCATAATGGACTGATAAGAATATTATAACTTTCTTTTCCCTTTCCTTTTGTAAAATGATGTTATCCCCATCAACTAATAAAATCAAGTAAAAAATGGGCCAAAGGGTTCAAAATTCGTTCGGTAAAAGCCGCTTAGGCGGTACTTTCTTACACATTAAAGAGTTGAAGAAAGGTTTTTGGGCCGGACTACACCAACACAGCCAGGAAAAAATAACTGACAATTATTGATATTTTATGAGTTTTGTTTGACAAAGTAGCTAATGTCGTTTTGATATAGGTGACAGGGGTCTTGTGTTGACATTAAGCGCATATCGATTGTAGAAAAAGAGAAAATAATTTGAATACTTTATGACTTGTGCCCCTCCATATAAGAAAACAATTTTTTTTGGTAGAAAATTATATATGTGTTCTTGCCAGCGGAGTCGAATATAGCGCTTCTTCTTGTGGTAATTACACATATGGTTTAACCATATAGTCATTAAAAAATATTAGAAAAAATATCTTTTATAATGCTGACACTTTTGCACAGTTTGAAGCAGGTAATTGTTACACACATTTTTTATTTATGATTAAGAAATATATACGACCGAAATATTATTTTCATAAACTTACCTGTGATCAATATTAACACGCGTTCACTGGACCGCTTTTTGGTTTTAAGCCAAAAATCAACTTAAATATATCAACTGTCTGAGTCTGGGAAAAGAATTTCCTTTGAATGCGACCACTGATTAAACTGAATTTATAATTTTCACAATTCCCGAGATTCCAGGCAAAAGTGCTCCAAAAAGTTTTTCAATTAAGTTCGGAATGTGGGCCAATGAAAGCGCACAAATGTATGGCACGCTTTTTGCTCCTAAAAATTGACTAAATGATTGACAACTGACTGAACGTGAAACTGAAGATCGCACGAAAATAGGTTGAAAACTGTGTTTTTTGAAACTGTTTAAGCGGTTAGCCGTTACAAGTTCGGTTGATTGGAGTTGGTGGTAAAGTTGAGATTCCTTCGAAGCGCGCCGAACGAATGCAACGTCCACGAGGCCAACGACTTGTTTTATAGTCAGCCGTTAAAGCCGTAAAACCCGAATTCCGCCCGAATCGCCACGAAGTTGACGATGTCGGCATTTAGTTCAACTTCAACTGGTTGCTCCTGTTGCTTCTTCAATCGAAAGCTTTCGTTTTTAGCCGGCTATCCAAGGTTTGCGTCCTGGCTAATGGAACACCTTGCGCCCACGCAATTTTTTACCCATTATTCTTAGAGTAAGTAGGTGTAATATTTTCGGGACTTGCAATGTGTTAGTCACACAAGGTTGTCCGGTAGTAGTAACATTAAAATTTAGTTTATATGTTTGATTAACATTTTCTCAGAAACTATACAAGTTTAGTCCATTAAATTTGGCCCACATAGCATGTACACACATTTACTTTAATAATGCTTCATTTTGCAGTTTCGGAATCAATATACTTTTAAGAAAGTTTCCTAACATAGTTCTTTGTTTTTTACAAAAATCCTATCTTTGGTCACAGGATTGCGAGTAGTGGGTAACTCAAGGTCGACTATAGCTTTTAAGATTTTTATTGTCCTGGGTATGGTTGTTGCAGTGACGTCAGCCGGTCGGGACGCGTTGATTTAAAGCTGTGCTAGATGGCTGCTATTCGCTGGTCTCGGAATTGGCCAAGTTGTTGTGGAGCTTGTTCTTGTAGAGCTGGTCACCTACGCACTCATATCGGTGGGCGGCGCCTACGCTGGGTCACCTAAAGCAATGTAGGATATAGATAGTCGTACATTTTGGCCTTTATTCGTTCATATTTGCTGACCAGATTTAATCTCACATTTGGGTTGTACCCTCTCAAATTTCACTTTTGCAGCTGTATTTACATTTTCTTTTTGACATTCCGTCGCCTAATGAGTATTGTAATCGCTTAAAATGTAAAATAATCTGCTTGTAATGGTTATTGTGGTACGTGGTATTACGTATACGTCACTTTGCTCAATTGATAACCAAGATTGGTTGATATAACCATTGTATAACAGCAATTAAGTTTAAAATCTTAAAGATTAAATGAAGTTGCAATTTATAAAAGTTCAAAAAGGAAGTAATAAGCTAAACAAATCGTTATCGTGGTGGCAGTGTGATTTTTATGACAAACAGACTTGATAAGAATCAAATTCGATTGCTTTACTTAGCTACGTTGTTATTATATCAGTAACTTAAAAGAACCAATAAAAAAATCATTATTAACAACTTCTTATCAGTAGCCAATTAAACCCGATAAGGGCTCACTTTAAACTTTTAACAGTATTGTTTTGTTTCGTGTAAGGAAATGATAAGACTTAAAGTATTTATTAGCATTGACACTAGTTAAATTGATATGTGTTGCCTTTAGACTCCTTAAACTTATTAATCTTAATCTTAAATTTTTGTTGCACTATTATTTATTGTTATTCTTTAAATATTTTAAAAGATATACTGATTGTATTAATAGGCTTAAGTAATTTGCATTCTAAGTAAAACTTAAAGTACACCTAACATATTTCCGCAATATAAATTTATATTAGTTTGATTTTCGCTGACAAGCTTTTGATGACCACTTGTAGCATTTATTTTGTAATCTAGTGTTTAATAGACAAATGATAACGCCCGTATATAAATGCATACAACAGGTGCAACTCAGTTTAGTTCATATTTTACCTGCATTACGGAAATAGTCAATCTACGATCAAGTTAACGATGACCTCTAACTCGAAGGATGGTATAACCATACGAATTATGACCCAAGAGGACTATAAAAATGTGAAAGCTTTTATGAAGGACGACTTTTTCACATCCGAGCCCTTGTGCCAAGCCAGTGGCGAAACCACCGTTCACCAACAAAATGAGAAGGAAAACGACATATATCACCTCTCGATGATCGCTCAGGGCACCTGTTTGGTGGCTCTGGACGAGAACAACGGTGGAAGACTAGTGGGATTTGTCCTGGCCGGAGCCCAATATCCCGAGGACATCGAAAAGCATCGCATTGAAGCGGATGCCATGGAGAAGAACGTGTGGGGACGCATTTTCGTGATGCTCTCAAAAATTGAACGCGAGGCCAATCTCTTCCAGCGCTTTGGCATTTCGAAAGTGCTCTACTCCCACATTACCAGTGTGGATACTTCGATGAGGGGCAAAGGACTTGGGTCCCGACTCGCCGCTACTTTGATGGATGTGGGCAGATCTAAGGGATTCCCCGCAATGGTGGCATACTGTACTAGCTTTTTCTCCGCCCGCCAGAAGGAGGCCCTGGGGATGCAGTGCATCCATTCCCTTACCTACGCCGACTACAAGGACGATCAAGGTCGTCCGATCTTCACCCCCGCTGCACCAAACACAATGGCACGAGTTATGGCTATTAAACTGTGAAATGTCAATACAAAATAGTTGGTACAAAATATATTGATTTAGTTTATCTTCCCTATATTACACATTACTCTTGGAAATTTGAGTGAAGATTTTTTGGAATCCAACAAACTTAGTATTTTGTTTGTTCAACGTAATCTCGAATACATTTTGTAAGTTTACTTCATTTACTTTACTATTACTATTTAAAGACTGCGAGGTACAATTTCGTAGAATCGGTCATTCAAACTGATATGTTTATATCGACTCGCTTGGAAAAACCTATGAGTAATATATACTTTATGGTTTCAAGGGTACAAGGGTGGTAAATTACAGAGATACTTCTAATGTTTTGTTGTTTTGATTGGCTTTTAAGTGGATTTCTGGCGGGACGTCATTCATATCATATTACTGATTAAACATAGGTAAAGAAAATTGTGTATTATATCATTATCAAGCAGAGAATTTTGTAATGATACACTTATTTATTAGTTTAGAGTTCTTATTGGTAGTTTCGCGGATAAGAATGTTTTAATCTGTTATTATCAGATTATTATTCAACGTGCCAATGATAACAAGTCTATATGAATGTTCTGAACAAGTGTCACAGACTTCAGTTCCTATTTTACCGGCAGCAAGTTAAGATCGTGTTTACGATGACCTCATACGCATTATGACCCAAGAGGACTATAAAATTGTGAAAGCCTTTATGAAGGATGACTTTTTCAAATCCGAGCCCTTGTGGCAAGCCGATGGCGAAACCAGCGATTACCCCCAAAATGCCAAATATCACCTCTCGATGATCGCTCAGGGCACCTGTTTGGTGGCTCTGGACGAGAGCAACGGTGGACGACTTGTGGGATTTGTCCTGGCCGGAGCCCAATATCTTGAGGACATAGAAAAGCATCGCATGGAGGCGGATGTCATGGAGAAGAACGTTTTGGGATCTCGAAAGCGCTCTACTCCCACGTTACTAGTGTGGATACTTCGATGAGGGGCAAAGGACTCGGGTCCCGACTCGCCGCCACTTTGATGGATGTGGGCAGGTTTAAGGTTTTCCCCGTAATGGTGGCATATTGCCACTGCAGTGGCATGTGTGAGCAAACGTTCCTCATTTGTAGTAATTAAAATTCATCATTATGTGTCTGGGATGGTAAGAGCTTTCTGATAACTAAGCTTTTTAACACGCAATCTTGTATTTGCAGATAAGACTGATTTAATGTGTTATTACCAGATCATTAATAACGTACAAATGATAACAAGTCTATATGAACGCACTGAACATGTGCCACAAACTTCAGTTCCTATTTTACCGGCAAGTTAAGATCGAGTTACGATGACCTCAAACTCAAAGGATGGCATCACCATACGCATTATGCTCAAGGAGGATTTTGCAAATGTAAAAGCCTTTATGAAGAAGGAATATTTCGCCTCAGAGCCATTGTGTCAATCCAGCGGTGAAACAGACTGGCACCTGCAGATGGGGAAGGACTACGTCAAATTAATCCCTTCGATGATCGCTCAGGGCACCTGTTTGGTGGCCCTGGACGAGAAGAACGGGGGACGACTTGTGGGATTAGTCCTGGCCGAAGCCCGATTCCCCAAGGACTTAGAAACGAATCGCATTAAGGCGGATGCCATGGAAAATAACGTTTGTGGACGCACCTACGTGATGCTTTCAAAAATTGAACGTGAAGCCAATCTCTTCGAGCGCTTTGGTATCTCGAAAATGCTCTACTCCGACACTACCAGTGTAGATACTTCGATGAGGGGCAAAGGACTCGGGTCCCGACTCGCCGCTACTTTGATGGATGTGGGCAGGTCTAAGGGATTCCCTGCAATGGTGGCATACTGCACCAGTTACTATTCCGCTCGCCAGAAAGCGGCCCTGGGGATGCAGTGCATCCACTCCATCGTCTACGCCGACTACAAGGACGATCAAGGACGACCTATATTCACTCCCGCAGAGCCACATACAATGCTTCGATTAATGGCCATTAAACTGTGAGAGACGCCTGTTCATAAAGTATGTAGTGATTTAAGTTTACCTATATTCATTATGTTTTATATTGTTGTTCAAAAATAAATTTAAATTTCTATGTTATACTCATTTTTGTTAAGCTTCTTGTACATCGAAATATCAATACAAAAATAGGGAAATTAATGTGGTCAGATGTTAACTTAAATTTGCTTTGATTTTTTTTTTGGCTTAGTAGAAGTTAGTTATTGTAAATAAATAAAACGCTCACAACAAATTAATTTTCAATATTATTATATTTATTCTCCTAACTCACTGCTGAATCGAAGCTTTCACCTAATGTGGTGTATTCATTTTTCACCACTGTGCGTGGAGCTTTTTAATAACGTTTTTTTACATATAGTCTTGTATGGCTTATGTCTTCACTATCAAAGTGGTCTTACCAGTAGTAAGTGTTGTATAAGCCAAAATATAAGTAAAAATATAAGAGTCGTGGAACTTGGTACCGCTAAGTGGGGAAACGGGGCGGAACTTTTGAAAAAGGGAAAAACCGGGAAAGTTCAGTTTGACGATCTGATATCACTCGGTTTTCAACGCGCGACATACAAATTGATACATTTCAGCAGAGTCAAATATACACATGCTTCTTTATTTTTGTTTTATTTGTATTCTTTTTCGAAATACACGTTTAACTATTCTACTAAAATGTTATTAAAATTAGCAATGAAAGTGTTTTTTGACAGTTTGTTTGGATATTTTACGATCGACTAACAAATCAAAAACTTTAAAAAAATATATTAATTTTTTGTGAGCATTGCTGAAAAAAAATATAAATAAAAATAAAAAAAATGGTCAAGGTTATTTTCTTATAATTATAAAAATGTTTCCCAGCAGATCTCAATATCAGTGACGTTAATTTCAATGGGAAACGCTGGTGGGTGAAGTGCTAAATACGCTTCTCTTTTCAACAGCTTACACCCACAATGATTTTATCGTTTGACAGTAGGCCTTAGGCACAACCTTAAATCAACTACCGAAAACATAAAAACACTCTGGAGCCGACGCATATCAATTAAATACTCCAATCCATCGACCATAAACCGACGGCTCAATTAGCCAAAACCACGGAGTAAAGACCACCTTTCGATAATCACGGGAAGGTGTGAAAAATCACACCGAAGCGGGATTAATTGAAAACATAATTCTGGCGTAGCCACCACTCCGAGGAATAACCAGGATGGGGTCCATCGTTAACTATGATTTGCAAGCCGTGCAACAGGCAAAAGCATCGTTACGTGCCACTTCTGCTCCTGCTGGGCGAAGAAGACCCCATGGATAATGATAATTCCGCATGACTCTTTCCGCTTTCCGCTCGACTGCCGTCGACTGCTGTTGTTAAATTTTATCGCCAAAACATGACGGGCAAATCAATTTTTATTATTTTATCATCATCGACGCCTGCTTAAGCTGCTTAAAGAATTTTCGTCGGCGGAGGCGAGACTTTTGTGCGAATCCCGCGAATCTATCTCATAACTAAGCCCAATCATTGGGGACCTGGGCATCGCGGCATCCTAGTCGCCCGGCAGAACAATAGAGCCGAGTACCAGCCACTCCGACCTCAACAATGCGCTAAATCATTATCAGTAATTATGCATTGTTCGCCCCCCGACAATGCAACTCATCTGGGAGGATATGCCAGTATATAGGCTCTGTCTGTCTGTCTTCCTTTTTTTGTTGCGCTTTTCCATTTACTTTTTTGTTCTTATTTTCTTCCTTTTTTCCCTTTTTTTCCTTTTGATTGATTTCGCTGATTGCAGTGGGCCTTGAGCTGCCCTCGTTCTATTAATAGGTCGCCGCAGCTTCCTCCCACCTCATCAGGTGGGTCTTTCAAACACCTCATCTCGCCGGGAGCTGCATAATTTATGTGCCTCGAGCAATCGTTTTGTGCAATTAAACAGGCTGCTAATGCGATCTGCAGATACGTCAAACAAACCACAGCATGGGAAGGGAAAATAGGGGCCAATGTGTTGTCTTATTTGGCGAGTAATTTCCAAATTAAGTGATAAGGCACACGAGGGGCCAAAACTCGGGGAGATACGGCTCATAAATCACTCAACTGTTGCTCCAAGGATGGTTTGTTCTAAGGGTTCTTGTGGGCAAAGAGCTCAAAAGATGGAGGGCCCTAATCTTTAAGAGGCTGGGCCTGGATGGCCAAAAGGTAAATGATAATAATAGGTTGCATGGGTAGAAGTTAAAGTTTTGTTGACTTCATTAAGGGCCACATAAATGCTAAAGGCGATCAGGGAACATTTTGCATAAGAGGTTGATATGCAAATATGCATAAATATTTTCTTATTGAACAGCAGAAGTAGTACTTAAACACAAACACATTCAAACAACAATCAATCTAATTTCTGCAATATTATAAACCACTCTTGTTATCCATAAGCTGCACAAGATTCACTTTTTTAACTTCGTTTTAGCTCAACCACACCAAGAAAAAAAACGTTTATAAAGTAAACCAATTATATAAACATTTTTTTATTATTTTTAACATGCAAAGGATAACTATCAGTTGACTTAATTAAAAAAGTCCTACGATAGATAGAGAAATTTATTAAAATGTAATGGATTGTTAAGAGCAAATTAAATATCTTCTCCTTAAAGGAAATCAATAAAATGAAGATATTTTTTAAAACCTTAATTTTTGCAGTGCACTGTTGAAGTTCTTGGGTAATAAATTAAACTGCATTTGGCTATTTTTGTGGTCATTAGGCACGACTGCAGTTTGTCTGTTTTTGGTCCTGGGTCCACTGGGCCTGGTCGGTCGACCATCTCCTGCGATTGTCTCGATCCTAGAGCGATGCAGGCCACTATCTGCCGCAAGTTTTAATGAAGTCTCGCCCAAAGTTCTATATGTCTGCTGGAGATGCGGAGGTAAGCTGAGTTATGCCCCGGCAAATGGCATTATGAGTTATGTGTCTGTGGTTCTGCGGAGGATGGCTTAATTTCTCGTCTCCTCCCCGTCAAATTTCTCCCACAGTGCCACACAGTTCAATTAACATAATTAATGTGCACGCCTGTCTCGTCTCGTCTCGTTGGCAACTTGGTGGAATATTTTTGTATCGGCTTACGCGTAGTTACAACTCAATTCAAGTTGCTTGCACCTCTGACACCTCGCTTAATGTACAATTAACTGGAACTGCGCTTCAAGCCTTTTCGTCAAACCTTTGAACTAGCCACAAATACGTGAAATAATTTATTTTCTGGTTTTACCCCAGGTGTAATTGTTTTGCCACCTACTTAATGATTCGCTTGTAATGCGATTTTCACATCAACTAAGCGTAATTATGGTTGGAGCTGTTTCTATGATTCGGATCTTCTCACAGTTTTAAGACGTTGGTGCTTTTTTGACTTTTATTACATCTTTAATACTTGGTTCAAGGTCACAGGGGTAATCAACTTTAAAGATATTTTTGATAAGTTTCTTCCGCCAATTTAATTCAATGGCATAATGTCTTAGGATTTTGGAAAATTGATGATTTTAACCAAGTTAAATTAATAGAGAATGCAATGGAATTGTTGTACTTTCCTTAAACATTTTTTTCTTACAAATCAAATGTTCCATTTACTCTATTCATTTATTTCTATAATTTTAATTTTTTTATTCACATTATTTATAATTTTTTTTCAGAAAATAAACGGTTTTTCAAGCATTTTTTGAATTTGCTGACTATTAAATCACTCAATTATAATTATGTTCTTAGTTTCAAAAGAACTAAGAAATCGAACTATGAGTTTATGCAAAATATATATATATTTTAAGTTTGATTGACATCCCTAATAGTTATTCATTTACTTTGAAATCAACGTACCTACTATTCATAAACTTTTCAAACCATGGAAACACATTTTTTGTTGTTGAAAAAGTTTGAATCATTTTAAGCAGTCAGGACCACAGGCTAATGCATGTTATAAAGTTTTACTTTCCAGATGCTTTGCAAGTTTTACGACCACTTTTCATGCTCATAGCGAGGGCTCTAAAAGTGACAGTTGAGCATGTTTTGCTGCCGTTAGGTGGGCATATTAAATGACTCCTGGCGAGTTAATAATCTCCTCCATACCCAGGCCATTTGTCAGTTTTGGATTTCATCTTTTTCATGGGGGCCAACGAGTGCACTCGAGAAACAATTTCAGATTGCACTCAAAGCTAAATGGGCGCTCAAAAAAGGTGACGATGGGTTTAAGCAGCCGAGCGGACATGTGTGAAATATGATATGCTCATTAAGGCTCTTAGCTGGTCTCGTATTTTCCCAACCTTTCTGACAGCCACGCCCTCCCATCCCCTCCGCCTTTGCCATGGGCCGCCCAAGGCGTCACGTAAGTCAAGTGCATAAATAAACGACTGGCTGCCTCTTAATGAGAAAGATGACGAGGGTGATGCGGCGTACACCTGCCGCCCGTCTGCGTTTGTGATATATCATCCGGCTGCCGGTACGCAAGTAGGCAAGGACACCTGACAGAGCCATCTCTGGCCCCCTCACCCACCCACTTGGCCACCCATCCTGTCACCCATTCCTGCACCCAGTCACCCACTCAGCCACAGCATCGAGTGAGAAATGTAAAGCAGTGGGACAAGCGGGAATCTGGTTTTTCCTCGCTGGCAGACCTTTTGCATTTCTACGCATCTGCTGGATACTGTGATTGTACTGGTCAGGATTCCTTGTCACCATTCATTGGAATTTCAGGATTCGTTAGCCAAAACAACAGGAATCATTGTGAATGTAGGAATAACACGCAAAGCAATTGTGTTTATCATTCTAATGTGTGTGATGGTTGAAATGAGATAAATAACTTTATTATAAGATTAAATAAACTATTAAGAAAATAAAGCTAAAAAAACTTAAATTCAAGTTGTTCTGTTTAATCTTTTTCTCTACCACTTAATCGCGTCGAATTTTTCCGCTGGGGTTTTTCCAAGTTTTCTTTCATTGAAACATTCTTCTGGCATTTTCTCTTTTAATATCGCCAAGACACTTTTTCATGTCACCCAATTTCACCAGCCATCCGCATCTTTTTGAAAAGGCTTAACAAATGTATCTCCCAAAAATAGTAATACAAAATAGAAATAGTTATGTACATACAAGTGAAAGTAAAAATAGTTTTATAGCTATCACATCCAAACAAATTCGTGTACGATCAGTTCAAAAGAGTATATCAATCTTACTGTAGCTCACTTCAGTCAGCTATTCTGGTTTCTTCCCAGTTTGTGTGAGTAAATTTGTTGTTACAGTGCGTGGTCAATCGGCATAATAAATCATTATAACGCCCACCGAAGCCCAAGCTCCGATCACCGATTAAGTCATCATCGGCACAGGGCCAGAAAGCCAAGAGGTGGACAAGATCAGCGGTGGAAACAATGCGTCGTCGATGTAGTCGTCGTCATCATCGGCGTGCCCAAAAGTCGCCTTGGGGTCAGGGTCGGGTTTGGACCTGGGTTTGGACCCAAGTTGGGGATCGGTTTCTCTGGCTCTCGGGTTCGTCGGGGTCTATTGACGCCAGCCAAGCGCCCTCGGCGGAGCTTATTTAAAAACTAATAGAGATTTAATCTGTTTGACTTAGCAATGAAGTCATTTAGAATGTAAATATTGAACCGAGTTAAGATCGTTACAGCAGTGTTCTTAAATGGAGTGTTACGAGTTCGCAAAGTGAGTTTTAAATGTATAATAATCTGAGATGGGAGAGAATTATTCTTATTTTTATAATTTGTTAGGCCAGCTGATTGACGGGTGGTATAAATTATAAAATTCCCAAAACGGCTTTTGCAGAAAGTTGATCAGTCCATAACTTGATTTCAGATACTAAAATGGTATACGTCTACATTTAGATCTATTTTCATCTATGTGATGATCATTCTGATGTTGCAGATTACCGATTTTTACTAATTTTAGCACCTTAATTTAATTATTTGAGTTTTGCTCCTAATGACTTCTTTACAAATTAAAATGGACACAAAAAAAAAGTTAAAAATTAAATAATAATCATAATGATAGCCAGTGTCAATGACTCTTTAGATTAGTTTCTGTTTCGTCATCCCACTAGTCGTTATATTCGTTATTATCCACACTTCCTCAATAGCGGTTCTTGCCTATTGCCTAATACCGGATTGCATTTAAGCCCTCCTCCGTTGAAGTGGATTATGTTTCCTTTTTGCATTTCCCAACTGTTATTATCGCCCGCCTTCAGGCACCTGTTGAACTCACTCCGATGGCCATATTATTTACCTACATCTCAATCCCAACCATAATCATAATATTTACACCTTTCTCCAACGCTCTTGCTCGATGTTGGCTTCCGCTCTTCAATGGAGGAAACAGGACTACTCAAATGCAAATCAATTGAAAATACAAATAGAAAATCTGCCTGAAAGCAGTGGAGCAAAAAGAAAACGTTGGTATAAATAAAAGTACACCGTTAACAACAGCAACAATACACCCACAGGGAATTCGAGTTAAAGTTGCAATTGCACTTAACAAAAAATTGTGTATTACTAAAAAATAGAATATATATAAAAATAAAAATTTTTAAGTTTTATTAAAAGCATTGTGTAACACTAAAACTCAGAGATATCAGATATTTTTAAAAATATACATAAATTTATTTATTAAGGTTCTTAAGGTAACTAGATTTCACTTTTATGGCATTTGGTTGATTAAGTTTTTGTTATTATAAGAAATATACTTGTTTTATGATTTACAAATATTAGATTTGGCTCAGTTTTTGTTTCAGTGTGGAGGCTGCAGCTTGGTTGCATTGCATTTGTCTTGGCCTGGTGTGAATTTATTGCTTAATCATGCTTTTTTGTAAATAAAACCCAAGAGTTACCCAGAGGGTTTTGGGTTCGGTTTTAACAAGGTGAGTGCTTGTCTAACTGGACGCGCTCCGTTTTATTTGCTGGCCATATTCTACGGGACTTGCTGGGTAGGCGTTGGTGGTGGTGGCAAAGGCGTAAAAAAGGAAGGAAATTTGTGGCTGCAACTGTGTGTCGTATGTTTAAGTCGCCGTTTGGACGTGGGCAATGGGTAAACGCTGCAATTAATATGAGGCACATGCAACACGAGCAGCAACAGCAACAGCAGCAGCAGCAGTAGGAGCAGCAGCAGCAGCAGCAGCAACTTGTACAGCAGCAACAGCTGGCCCACCCACTCAGCGGCAACTTGCAACATGTTCGATTCGAACTCGTGTTGCTCGCGGCGGGCAACTTACTGCGAACCTGAAAGCTGCTCGACAGTCTAGTTTCGTCGCGTGCGGCTGCCGCCTCGCTCAGTTTTTGAATTACGTTTTTTTGGCCTGGCCCACTGGAAACAAATCGAAAACAAAAGCCCCCAATGCGCCCCATTAAACAAATTTCGCTTAATTAGAGCGTTGTGTAAAGGTGTAACACATCATTGTTTTGTCGAAATCCGCCTACCGCAACACTCAGCCCAAAAAGCCATTTATTTGTGTTAGTTTTAATCGAATTATTTACGTAAATTACCGACGTGTTTTGTAAAAATATTTGCCAAATCTTCCCCAAAAGTGCAGTGATTGTGTTTGTGCTCGAAATCGTTGGTAGAACGGTAACAGGTAAAACAACATCAACAAACCAGCGAACGATGTCGGTGAATATAACCATTAAAACGAAGTTAAAGTCGCTCCCGCGCTGCATACAAATGGTGCTGTAAATAAGCAAATAAACATTTGCAGCTGGTAAGTTTCAATTGCCTTTTGGGCTTTCGTTAAGGTCGGGGTGTTGACCAGATGTGGAATAAATCATAATTAGAGAGGGTTACATTTCGAATTGGGTTATGGGTACGACGGAAACTTTAGTGTGGGAAACTCAATTTACTGTGTCTCTATTTGTGCAACTATTTCGAGCTGCGTTAATTGTAGCTTTGTGTTTGGTGTGTATATTTACCGCATTAGTGGTATTAAGAGGCTGCAAACGTACGACCTAATAGCTATTCAGAATTTGACTCAATTATTTAAGCACATAAACATTTAATAGGTTTCGAGGTTTTACAAACGTATTAAAATGCTTTAAAACTTACTTCATTAAAAAAAAACTAGAATCTTCGGAAAAAGTATTTAAAAAATTAAAGCTATTGGAAAATTAAAAGAATGTTTTATTTTTTGTTTTCGTTTATTAGTAAGATTACTTTACTGATAAATAAATGTATCTATTGCTTTGAGGCATTTTACGTAATATTTAGTATTCATAACAGAACTGAAAGTAATTTTCACAACTTTATTTTTCTTTTTTTCTACTCATTTCTTTTTTATTTTGTCTGCGTTTTGCCAACATTTCAAAAAAGTTTGCTGTGAAAAAATGTTTGGGATAGCAAGTTAATTTGAGCTTAAACACGAGGCAGGTAAAATGGTTTAAAATTTGTAAATGTGAAAAGTCTGTGCAATAAGAACTCCTTTCACTAGTGGAATCGTTTCCAAGAAATGTTCTTTTATCCGTTAGCTCTGGTTTTGGGCTCAAGTTCCTTGACTCTTAGTACTGCTCTGTGTTTTATGGCCCAACCCGCAAATTTTCAGTGTCTGTGGAAATTATTTCTTGACAGTTGCTAATAAACCTGCCTACTTCATGGGCATAGCTCGCAACGCTCATTACTCATGCCAAATCTTCTGTCACTTCACACCTTCTTCGGGCCAATTCAACGGTCAACTTGTCAACATGGAGTGGAGTACTGAGCTGTGTGTGGATTCTGTGTGCGTGAGCTCTTAAGCCTTATGCAACAGCTCAAATTAGCCATGCAATTTGTACTTAACTATTTACAGCGTCTTGCAGAAGAGTACTGGTGCCGGGCGAATGGGGGGTAATGGCTTCTCGAGAGCACTCTGCACAGAGGCGGGAATAATAAAATGGCCAAGGACTTGAAGCGGACAAGCGACAAGTTTATCACTTGTTAAGCCAAACGCTGCAGACATGCACCGACGCCCTAGCTCCATCCTGAATCCACCATCCAGACTCCAATTCCTACTCCTATTCCTGGGCCATCTGGGAATCCGACTCCAGACGTCGTCGTCGTCGTCGGCGTCGAGTGGCAGGCCCAGATGGGCGCGGCAGATAAGGAACTGGGCCCAGACCAGACAAAGACACAGAGTAGTGCTGCGAGTGGGAAAAGGGCGGCCGGCGTCCGATCCCAGATCCCAGATCCCATTTGCATGCCACTCGCTTGAAGTGGGCCACTCTGGGCCCCGGATGAAAGCGGATATCAGAGCGAATACACAGAGACAAGAAATCGAGCGTTTGTTACCCAAACCTATTTATTAATCTAAGATTAACTCACCCAGAGCAAAGAAAGGTCTATTTAATTCATATAGTTCCACATTTTAACATATCTAAGATTTTCCCAGAGATAAGCAATACAAAACTATAAGTTGAATGATTTGTGGCGGCTGCTTTTTATTTGTTATGATGAACAACATCGCATTATCTGATAACCCATTTCAGGTTTTAACCAATAATTTTTGACATTAAAAACATTATACTGAATAGCCAAATGGTCAATTCTTTTTTTAAAGTAAATTTAGTTCTAGTGTAAATACATATACAATTTTTCGGTTTAAATGGCCAGTGCATAGAAATAAAGAAAAATCTTTAATAAAAACATGATGGCAGTCAAACCATATAGTAATAATTAAGAAACAACAACTTAGCTTGTTGGTTATTATTAAGATAAAAAACAATAGTAAAAAAAAAAAAAAAAATTGTACATCTTTTATATCAATTGAATAAACATATTCGACTTCCCTGTAAATATAAGTAGAACAAGAATTTTTTTATAAAACAAATATTTTACCACCAATAAGATGTCGTTTCCTGTGCTTAGTAATCTATTAGGCAAAACGTTTGGGTACACTCAGTCACTTCCAATCCTATAATATTCATAAGCCCAATCTAAAGCCAATTGCAGGCCATTTTTGGCTATCTTTCGGCAGCTGGGACTTAAACTTAAATCCAACGACCTTTTCGGGAGACCCACTGTATGGGATATCACCCGAAACCAGTCAGCCAGCTGCTCCTCTTCCATTTGGGCCGTTTAAATAATGGCTGGAAACTGTTGGGTGACAATAAAGAAGAGCGGCAGCCACAAGTGAAGTGATGTGTGCCAACAAAGCAGCTACTATTGGCTATAAATAGTCGGGAAAAGAGTCAGGAAGCAAATGTCAATTCATAAATTACGTATACGCAGACGTCGCTGCTCATTGATAGTGCGACTTGAGTTTGCTTTCGTTTCCGCCATTGAATCGATTGTGTTGACTTTTTCATTTTCCAATTTTCATTTCCAAGCTTGTCTCGATGGTGTCTACCTGGTTTATGATCATTTAATTGACACGCTACCTGGCAGTTGGAACTCTTCTGAGAACACAGTCATGCTCCAAGGCCATGGCCCATAATAATTGATTACGGGCCGGGTAAATTGGCAAGCTGACAAAGAAAATCTTTATGTCAAGATCGACCAGACAGGAGTGTTTCATGTGTACATTATTTCGGATAGGATTTTGTAAAATTGCCTATCAATGTCAGTCAAATGCAGCATTATCATCATTTCCGTTTTAATTAAAGTCTCTGTCTAGAAATGTCAAAGTCTATGCAAACATTATTAATGTGCAAATATGTCAACATATTTTCCATCAGCTTGCAAGTAATGAAAACTGAGAAAGTAATTGTGAATAATTCGTGCACTCAAAATATGTATGACTTTAACTCTTGGAAAAGTATAATAATTATAGTAAAAATGTGAAAGATTGAAAAATTGAAATTGAAGTGCATTAAAAGTTATGATTTTGGTAAAACAATTGATTTTTATTTATTTTGGGAGTTTTTTAAAAACGTTTGAGTATTAAAAGTATTTTGAGTGTACTTCAGGAAACATAAAAAATAAAGCAATCAACTTAGCCTATGGCTATCACTTAAGTCCTCTATCATATCATACCACTTTATCCGCAAAAGCACTCTGTAATTAACTGTTGCAAATCTATTAGAATAAACTTTTCCCAACGAGGTCGACCAATTAGCATTATTAAAGTATTGTCTTCTTCTCACGGTGGAATTCCCTAGTCCAGTTGAGCAGTAAGAACAGGTGGGTAAACAAGGTTAGTCACTCCCTTGGAGATGCCCGAGGTTGGACACTTTGATTTGCACAAAGTATTTGCAAGACACAACAACAATGGAATTGCTTTTACGCAACTTTAATTAGCAAGGCAAACAAGATGTCCTGGCACGCCAGGAGGTCTTACCTTTGATTCATCTCCTGTCCCCGCTGGCAGGTCCTTTGGATCCTTGTTTTTCCACACTGCCGGACAGCAAAACGTTGATAAACGGAGGAAAATAAAGGGTGGGCCGGGGGAAATTGTGACACACAAAATATGCTAAAACAAAGCCAGCGTGGAAATTTAATTAAAATGCTTGCAAAACCATTAAAGTGCCGATATGTAAAATGCTCCCTTTTTGGCCGATGCTGCGTATGCGCAATTTTTTGCCTATTACCAGCAATTAAAATGGCTATCTTATTAGGCAGCATGCTAATTGAATTTTGGCTCACCCCGGGGGCAGTTTTTGTGGGCCCTCTGATTTTGGCAGTCGCTGACCTTTTTGTTTTTGCCTCAGCACGTGTCTTGCAAAATTGATAAACCATAAATAATCGTTATATCTGAGAGCAACAGTTTGGCCACCGAGCATAAACATAAAAGGGATACCAGTCTCCCTTTCAACCGCCTTATCCTTTTTTTTGGGTCTGTCCGCCTCGATTGTAACTCAAACAAAAAGCTTAACAATGAGCACGAAAAGTTTTGTTCTTGCAACATTCCTTGTTATGCTTCATTAATTTAATGCTGTTTTCGCAATAAATTTTCCACCATTCCATTTCGGTGGCAACAAAGAGCATTTCATACACGCTTATGCTAATCTCAAAGAATTTACATTCGAATTTTTCTTCATATTTCCTGGTTCTCTTGGAATTCATTTGGGGGTTTAACGAAGTTTTATTAGAAATTGTAATAGGCTACCGTGTATTATTTAAAAGATTTTTTTGGGATCATAAAAAGGGATCAATATATTCGAGGATGTTTTGTTTTTATTAAAAGACAGTTTTAGTTACTCTCTTATTTGTTTAAATTATAAAAATATTTGCATACGTACAAGTATTAGGTATTCTAGGTTTGTCGTAACTAAAAATAAAATATTTACTTTCAGTAAATACTCCAGGTACAATAGATATTTTCCTTTAAGGTTTTTTTAACTTTTATTGACAGGTTCAGACAGGACTAACAAATCTATTATTGATTCTGTTGACCAACTCGTGCACTGGTTAAACTCGCTTTGCGTGAACTCAGCATGGCAGAGTTAACCCTTTTTAATAACAAATGCTTCTGGGGGGTTAAGTGGGGTGCCATCAAACGTTTTTCGTACTCCGCTTGACTGACTGCCTGTCACGATTTTCTCCAGAACTTATGACTGTGTCGGGCGAATGAAATGTATCAGGTAAACGACATTGCTAAAACATGAACGGAGCACACGTAAATGGTTGCGGGTGATGGGGCAGGCAAAACAACTTGCTTAAAATTGTATTAAGTGAACTTCAGGGGGAATAGTTTGGCGGCAGGGGCCTCAACCCTTCTATGAATATACTTTATTGGAGCGTGAGGCGGCTTTGAGCCGTCATCCCATTCTCGTGGAGTTGGCACTCTGTCACGCT